ACATTTTGAATACTTTTTACTCATTTTTCATCAAACCAAACAACCCCTTGATAATATATTGTTCGCTCAATGAAATACCAAACAAATTAGTTTTTTTAAAGCTTTCCAAAATATTTTACTAATTATGCTCAAAATAAAGATCCTTCCATTCTTTTTCATTTGCTTTGACCTAAAAGTGGTAATTAGAAAAGATTTCACACTGCTAAAAAATAATAATTAACAAAACTAATCATTACCACCTTAACATGAAATGCAGCTTCTGCAACAGGAAAACACAAAAAGGGTTGGATGTAATTTAAAGTTGGTTTAATATATATTAATCTAAAGGTTACCACCTTAACTGATCAGTACATATTCTTTGTTATTTTAACTCCTAAGCTGACATTTAAAAATTAAACTGAACATCAGTAGCATAATAATTCAGTAATCCTTCTACAAATACAGAGTTATAATCTAAACACATCTCACAATAGTTAAAAGAAATCAACATAACATATCAAAGTTATGATGTCAATACATCTCACATTATCAAAAGGAAATCAACATAACATATCAAATCACCTACACATCCGGCACAAATTACCATAACATAAAGGAAATTAATCCACATTACAAACAAGTTTAGACATTCAAAACCACCAAATATCTCTAGAGTAACAACACCAATCTTAGAATATCAAAACCACACATAGATAAATCATCATCATCATCATCAACATCATCATCATCATCATTTGCAGTAAAAGCATTCAAATCAAGAGTTCAGGAGGCAAATTATGGCCAATGCTCGGGCTGTGACCAGTATTACTAGGTGGAGTTTCATTAGCCATATTCATGCAACAGTCATTCTGAAAGCTTTTTCTTGAGCATGACAGCTTCATCTTAGTGGAAGAAGAGCATTTGGGAGAAGCTGAAGCTTCAAGAGATACAAGAGTTCGAGTGTATTCAGAATTGAATAGTTGCATGAGAAAAATAACTATAAAGAAGAATTTAACGAGAGGGAGATGCTTCGCAGAGAAGACCATGGATTATGATGGCACAGTGCTAAACAAGGTAAGAAGAGTAGGTAGGAAGCTCTAAGCAAAGCAATGCAGATGATGGAGGAGCTTGGATAAAAACGTTCAGGTCCCCCCCTTTTATATGGAAGTTGAATCCTATTGAAGATGGAGGGTCCCAATATAAAGCAATTAGTTGTAAGATGAAGGCACAAAGCAAGTTTCCAATAAGAAAGAATAGAAAGAGAAAAAAATCCTACTGGTTGTCACCCGTGAAGCTTCATACAAAATCATCACCTTCATTCATCACCAGAAACTTTAATCTTAACTATATGGGATTAGCCTCATAAATCTTTGATCTCCATTTATTCTAATTGAACATTAACTACATACTACACAACTTTTTTTAACAAATTATAGTCTTGTTTAGCCTATCGTTTTAATTCACAATCCTTTACATTAATTTTGCCAACTTATCCTATTGTTACATCCCCTGCCCTCAAATTATGTATACCCAAATCCTCTTAGTCTATTTTTCAATAAACTCTCATCAACATGTAATGCTCTCTCCAAATCCTCATGCCCTTTGGTTGTATACATTTAGAAATAATTTAGTTTAAGAAAGCAGAGTAAATGCATGTAGCCTTAGATGATTTGGTCACATAAAACAACGGCCTTCCGATGCCCCAGTTAGGAAAGCAGAGATATTATATTTGACTTATATTAAGAAATGTAGAGGTAGAACTAAAAAAGACTTGGTTAGAAAATATTAGAAATGAACTTTCTTTATTAGATTTAAACGAGATTTTGACTTTTAACAGGGCACAATAGAGAAAAAAAATTCATGTAGTCGACCCACGTAGTGGAATAAAAGCTTGATGTTGTTGTTGTTGTTGTAAAGCAGAGTAAATGCATAGAGTGAACTCTATTTATCTGAAATTGTTTGGTTTTATGTAAAATAAATCCAAGCATATAATTTGCATTGTTTGGTTTAATGTAAATTCACAATAGGATACTCAACGGCCCATAGGAGGATGGTGATAATGATCCCAACCTGTCTTCGTGCCTTCGCGGTAATGAATTAGGCAACACAATTGAGTTGGAAAATTATTGAAGATCCAAAGATAGAGGAGGATTTGGTCACTATAGACTGAATCTTGAAAGTAAGGCAAATGCAGTGACCTAGCCATTCACCTTACATCAGGATCTTAAAAGTAGATGCAAAGAAATTGCTTCAAAACTATACTTTAGTGTCACTATAATTCCAATCAAACATATATTCATCAAGAGTTTTATTAAAGCTGCTTTATGGACTTTTCATGAGCAAATTTGTGAAAAAAGCTAAGCAATTTTCCCAAACAACATGCACCTGATTTGTAACAGCTTATAACAAAAAAAGCTAAAGCAAACTTATGACAAAAAAGATAAAGCAAATGAGGCCTTCAATTGTTTAGGGAGCCTAGTAATTATGAATTCTATTAATTTTGATAGCCTAAGGCTGAAAAGTAGCCCTAGCTTTCACATGGGGCATTAATGTTAATGAAGACTACAATGCTTTAGAGAAATAGGGATCCATATTGATGAACCAGCAATGGATGTAAATAACATTTTGGCATATTCCTTGTAAAGAACTTTGTCTTGTGATCACTATGCAATTAGTTATTTTCATGGAAAGAAATTACCAAGAATAAATTAGAATTCTGTTGCATAATTAGGGGTGTAAGGTCCTCAATAAAATACAAAAAAAGTTTAAATCATTTCTTCTCTTTTCAAAAAAAAAAAAACTTCTCTTTTCAATTTTTGTATTAGACATCTACCATTTTAAATTATAAGACACCATTAACATCATATGATATCTTTTTTTAATGTTAAGCAAAAAACTCTACAATCACATGACTTCAGATTTGCACCATAACAAAGGAGAGCAGAATCCCCAATCAATAGCAATTAGGTGACCATGGCAAGGATGATCATATTGTAATGCCATGTATTCAGTAATTAATATTAAAATTATAAAAAATATATATATACTTTACAGTAGTTAGAATGATTACAGTATAACATATTGCATTATATCTTTGTCAAATTTTTACAGTCTCTTGAAATTAAATGTGTATATAATATTTTATTTTTCTCCAAAATTATAAGTAGAAGCAACCAAAAAAAAGTAACAATATTAAGGATAGCCTAAGGTTGGGTGCTGGTGTGAAACCCCTTAAATTAAAGAAAGTTAACGCTTAAACATCAAGACGCCTTTTGGTGTAATGGTTGGAATTTCCGTAAGAAACTCTGTAGTTAAGCGTGCTCATCCCAGAGCAATTCTGAGATTAGTGACATATTGAAAAGTTACACCAATAAGATAAAACCTCACGGCTCTTAAGCCAAAACAAATAATATCTTGATAGTTAAGAATTTGGATTGTTACAGCTGGTTAGCTTAAGTGGTAATGATTTTGAAAGTTGTTGATGATATTCTCAATTCAAAATTAGCATACATCAAGTTTATGCCTTAACACTATCCATTCCTTAAAAAAGGGAAAAAGAGGCCTCATTTTTCAATATATTTAGCTTTACTGGAATGGATGCCCAGTACATCTATTGCCTACATTCCTAGCCTTACATACACTTTTTCTTTATCTATTTAATATTGATAGCTTAACAACCAGCACCTCTGCTTTTACTTTTCTTGTACCTATAAAGTTTTGCATTTATTTTTATGACTAACTAATGAAATGTTAACCATCAGTTCATAAAGATTCAACTGCTTTTCGTGACCATAGCACTTCATACACTTGGAATATTTTCAATCGCATTAGTGGTGATTATGTGCAGAACCTCAGCGATAAGAAAGTTCAATAGCACATGAAAAGTTCATGGAGATACTCGACAACACGTAATAAATCAAAGTAAAGATACAATAATCCTGTTCTTGAAAACGTATCTTACCCAGTATACACCAGACAGAAACAAGACTGGAAGTGATTTTCCAGTTATTTGGTCAGGATTTACTTGAGTATGACTAGGATTGATATCAGTGTCTAAACACATTATAAGTTCAATCTTCAGTCAAGTCAAAATCCACTTCAATTTGTTCTTGTCATGTTTGTCTTAGATGGTTTGGTCACATAAAACGGCAGCCCTCCGATGACTCAATTAGGAAAGTAGATGTTATTGTCATGTTCGCCTTTCCTTGGCCATTCCTTTTGTTGTGGTAGCCTAACCCCCTAGTCACCGATCTGTTGGTTCAGAGGTCTTTACTGTACTTAATGAACATTCTAACTCTTTAGTAAATATCTAAATATCCCACAAAAGCACATCAACTAATATAGATTGAAAAATATGATGTGAAGCGGTTTGCTTAAGATAGTGTAATATTGTAAAATATTCACATCAAGACATTAGAGTAGGTTGAACTACCCTGGTCATGGGTACTAAAAAGACATGAAGCAACATTGAGCATAGGGGATAAAGCCAATGTGAAAATGAATGAAAACCAGTAGGGACAGCATAGTTCGATTAGCTTTCTGAAAAACAAGGGTAGAGAAAAAGAAAGCAACCAAAATGGCTCACACAAATGTGCTTCTGCAATCACCAAGACGAATTTGAAAAAGATGACTTAGATAACGAGGACAAGACTAAGACTTCGTTTGGGGCTGCTTTCTCACTGCTTCTTAAAGAAGCTTTTTAGTACACAATTAAAATTTTTATACTAAAAAGTTGCTTTAAGAAGCAGTGAGAAAGCCGTCCCAAACAAAGCCTAAAGTGTGCCAACTGTATGATGGCCACATTATCACAAAAAAGTCCAAGAAAAGCCATGGATGCTTATTCACTAAAATACCTCAGTTCACAAGTTGATGCCTTTTTTCTGCTGTATTTTCTAGAAAAAGCACAAGCTATATATTCTTGACAACCTGCTCCTGCAATATTTTCTAACTAAAGGCACACGTTATTGTAACAATATAATAAGACCAGTAACAGAATCTGCTTACGAGATAAGAAAGATCTTCAAATATATCTTTGAAAACTCCAAACATTTTGTGACTTTCTATGCCAGTTATGATGTTCATCCTTGACAAAGTTACACTTGAACTATTATTTAAGAACTGTAACTAATGCATCCTAATTTTGTATAGACTCCAAAATTTAATTCTCTGCTGTTCCTCACTCTACTTCAAGTGGAAGTCTGAAGCTGTGACAGGAGATAGAGGCAACCTGAGGACAAGAGGATGGATACAGCAAAGAAGAGTAGATCTTTAGGAGAACAAATTGTCACTTTCCTGCTCTTATCAAACAAGCCAATCAGTAGGACCAACACTATCGCATGTCCAACTTTTGTTTTCAGCTCACTTACAGACTTTATTTCCAACCATTTAGGCCTTGCCTGTAAATTTACCGAATAAGCTATGAATTGCATTTGATAAAAAAATCAAAGCTAGAGGACAAGTTCAGTAAGCGTATATGAAAATACTATAATATAAGCCTCATACAAATATAAAGCGTACAATACTAAGGAGAGAGAGAGAGAGAGAGAGAGGTGAAAGGACAAAAAGAGAGAATTACTACAAATTTTCAGGCCAAAATTTAAAATGGATCATCACTTAATATTAGTTAAGCAGAAAATATAATTTTAAAAAAATTAAGAGCTTAAAAACATTTGGCATTTTTCAGGAATCGCAAATTTGCATTTTCATAAAAAACACAAAAAAAATTGCAATAAGAAGTTCATTTTTTTTTGACCTCTACTAAGCAGCCAAAAGAAACAGACAAAACAAAATAAAAAAAATATGCTTGAAATCATTACCTGTGACGAGATCTCCCCATATCCCGCTAAAGTCGCTACAGTCCCGTCACTGCAGCGACCTACCCATACCTCTGCAGCGGCGCCGAAGATGTCTCACCTGATGTAGAGATACGTCCTCCCAGAACTAAATTCGCGCTAAAAAACGAGAAATACCGAGCAAATACCGAGCAATACCGAGCAATAATGAGGAATATCATCATGTGATAATGAGGAATATCATCATGTGAAGACCAATACCGAGTTATACCGAGCTATACTGAGCAATACCGATCAATACAAAAAAATACATAGTTTTTCCTAGAAAGAACTCGGTGTTTTTTTGTATTGCTCGGTATTGCTCGGTACAGCTCGGTATAACTCGATATTGGTCTTCACATGATGATATTCCTCGTTATTATCAAATAATTCCAGCAATACCGAGCAAAAACAGAGTTTTTTGGCGGTGGGAGGACGCAATAAAAATTCCCTCACGCGTGCTCTGCCTCAACCCCATTTTAGCATTGTTAAAATGAGAGGAGATGAGGGCCTTCGGTTCTCTGGCTCCCACAACATCTCCACGCACAAAAGCAGCCCCTACCTCAATCAACCGCGACCAAGCTGATCGGATCATACGTCCGACTTTGGCTCCCCCATTCAAACCGACACCGAGATCGATCCCCTTGATCCCTTCGGCCAGAGGGAGAGAGAGAGAGAGAGAGAGGAACCTTTCTTCTTCCTTGGCCGAA